CTATATATATATATATATATATATATATATATATATATATATATGGTGCGCAGTTTCTTTTACATCAAATAGTTAATGGCGTGTTGGTTGTCCTGCGGGATAGTGGCGTCCTCCCTAGCAGACGTTGCGGGGCACTAACCAGAGTGTTTTAACAAAATATGATTTTTTTAAAGCTTCTACGAATGAAAAAAAGTGATACTATTTATAAAAAAACGGGATGCTCTGGCGGGATTCGAACATTGACTATACAAAATCTTCAAAATTTTACACGTGAGCGCTAACCAGAGTGTCTTAACAAAATATATGACTTAAATATGACATATAAGTATACATCTTGTTTATAAAATTGTTGTACAACTGACTCACCTTAAACTCGCCTCTCCAATAGAGCGAGGCCGAGTTACTCGGCTGATTCCGAGTGGCCTCGGTCGAGTTTCAAAACCATGATTAAATAACTTTTCATGTTAAGTTGCTTAGAGTGTCCTTAAAAAAATATATATTACTTAAATATGACATATAAGTATACATATTGTTTATAAAATTGTTGTACAACCGACTCACCTTAAACTCGCCTCGCCAATAGAGTGAGGCCGAGTTACTCAGCCGATTCCAAGTGGCCTCGGTCGAGTTTCAAAACCATGATTAAATAACTTCTCATGTTACCTTGCTTAGAGTGTCCTTTTTTTTTTTGAAGGAATTTTTAGTGAATACTGAGAAAATCATGTAAATGGAATGGATGCTATTGATCTTGATAGAGGTTCAATATCAATATCACTGGGTAAAAAGGAAAGATCAATAATTAAGGTGAATATCTCTGTCAAAAACCAATTAAATCTCCCTTATTTCCATTATTAACAAAATTTACAACGAATTATATTCACAACAAATTCAGCAAAGCGAAATAACATCTCGAGAGAGAACAATCAAAGGAAGACAAAATTAGGTCAAAATTTATGGATAATTCATTTAAACTCTTCAAACCACGTCACTAACACCAGAAAGTGAGTACCAGAATCAGAGAAGCCATAGATGAAGACTGTGGTGCCGAAACACCTCCATGTCCCATTAGGTTCTCATCACCAAAATTAGGTCCAACTTAATGATAAAACTGAATTAGATTCTCGGAATTTTGCTTCAAACCACAGTACTAGCACCAGGTAAGTATATAAAAATACCTGCCATATGTCGTTAGGGTTTTCATCATCGTCCATGGTCGAGCACCTAAGGAAATTTTTAGCCCTAAATCTAGAGGAAATGGGGAGGAATGAGAAAGCAGCTACAAAATTAGCAGGAGGTAAGCTCCATCTAAAGAGAAGAGATATTCGAGAAGGGAAAGGGGAAGGTGAATTAGAGGAAGTTCCTCTAAATTTAGAGGAAGGAAAAGAGTAGAAGAGAGTCTGAACCCTAGTGAGCTCCATGACTGCAAATCGTGAAGCTTGGTCTAATAAATCTTGATTTATACTGTTTTTGAAAACTTTTACCTTTATTAGATAGAGAACGGCTAGATTTTGAAACGTGGGGGAAATATCGACCGTCCGATTTGCGCAATTTCCCGCGTGATTTATCCATTGCATAAAAAACGAGTTTTGAAAACAAAGAACTTAAGAGGAGTAAAAATAATTATTATTATTTTTAGAAAATATGAAATGAAATTAGAGAGGGAAATTTTGGCGGTTAAGATGATTTCCGTTGTACTTAGAGGTATTTAAAAAAGAGTGCAGTTGGCATACGGATGCATATGCAGCTGTAGAGGTAAGGTTCACTTTCAAAATTTATTATTGTGTATAATTTTGATGTAAAATGTTTTTAGGATTATCTTCAAATCTATTTTTCTATCTAATTATAAAAATTTCAATTTTAAAAATAGTTAAAATCAAGTAGATTTATAAATATATGAAAATCTTGAAAATGGACAATGTAAATAATATGTTGTAAAATGTATTATTTTTTAGACTTAAAATATTTTTATTTTTCATGGTCATACATCTCAATATTGAGATGATCAATCAAAAGGTTTTTTAACATTAAAACTACCTTTTTCGATGGATTTTGAGGTGCATCCATAGTTCTACATTATAAAGCTACTACCATATATAAACTTTTTCCATTTAAAAAATGATGCAGTTGGCATTCGGGTGCATCCTTAGGTGTAGAGGTAAGGTGCACAATCAAATTTTATCATGGTATGTAATTTTGGAGTAATGATCCTATGAGCTCCTTACATATGCGGGTTGTAGATGACCCCCCTCTATCACTGTTAGATCTTTGTCCATATTTCGATGACGCATCGGGGTGCTAAGTCACCAGGTAAAAAATAAGAAGTCACTTGGAGAGAGAGAGAGAGGTAGGTCCAAACGTTGTAGGCACACTTTTCAGTCTCCTTCCCGAGCACTATTCTCAGCCTCCTTCTTGACTACATCACGCTCAAGAATCTATGAGCTTTGCCCCCTCTGCCCAAATTTTAGATCATTCTGATTTGTAGAAAAGAAATGAAAAATAATACCA